TACTATATATATATATATATATATATATATATATATATATATATATATACGTATATATATATATATATACTCAGTTGTAGTACGCTGTACGGTGTCATAATTTCTTATGCTAGTTACTCATCCTTATACTCTTAGATGGACCTGAGGTCATGCTTCTTGTTCTTTACAGGGACTTTGTGAAGAATGCTTCGTGTATCAAAATACTCTCGCCACAGGAGTTGCAGCAGATGGGGAAGCAGGGAATCGAGCTTCTGAGGACGGTTCCAATGCAGAGGCAGCAAAGCAGCATCTGTGATGACTATGTAAGTCGACAGGACTCACGAAATTTAAGTAATGGGATCGCATCTGTGGGTCCTTTGGAATATTGAACTCTAGGAAAAATTTCAGGTTTCTGAAGCCTCTGTAATATGAGCTCCCCTTTGCGAATTGGCAAGAGCACTGAGTAAGTAGCTAGGTAGATGGTTACTGTATTATAAATATATACGTGTTACGAGACTGCTGGAAGCTGAGCCCACTAGTGTGTTTGAATATCATGCAATTTATATTACAGACTGGAGATTTTGTGTTCAGGAGAAGAGAGAGGAGCAGTTTGTTTTTTATGTGTTTTTGTGTCTTCTTAAGGTAAGTTGAGCTCCTAGATTCTTTTGTGGTCTTGTGCCTTCCTTCCTTTCCTTTTCGGAAACTGTGGGGTTAATGTGGATGGGCTTTGGGGCACTGGCAGTTTTCTGAGTCGGACTTCTGAATGCTTATTGGAAAAATAGTTCTGCAGGGTTTCATGGGTTCCAATTGAAATTGTGTTTTTATCTTTGGTTGAGTTTACATAAAGATTGATAAATAACAGCTACCTATCATTTTTTGGGGGTTTTAATTTTTTTAAGTCCCTCTCTTATTCCTACCATTTTCAGGACTTAATGGGCAGAACAATTGATCAAGAATAGTTCAAGAACTTAAAGTAACTTAACTAGGTAAGATTTCAAGCAGTTCTGAATTAGTGTCAACGTACAATAGCTTATAAACCATTTGTTGTGATATCCTGTGGTTAACATCCTGACCACACTTCGTCTAAACACTTCTTCCAATAAAATATCAGCAGGGGTCACATTTGTTAGACTATGATATCCTAGAGGCTTAAGTTGTCTTCTGAAGAACTAGGTAGTTTGCCCAAAGTATGTTCCTGTTTTCAGATTCTGAAGTTTTTTAAATATCTACGTTTAAATGAAGAATGTGATTGTTTTCTTTTCTGGGATCGATATAGCAGTATAATTCTTTTCTTGTCTGGGATCTACGTAGCAGTATACTAAGAGAAGTCCATTTCGAAAATCAATGATAAATGAACCTAACAATTGTTTATTTATTCGTTCAAGAAACCTATATGGTCTTCTTGCTATGCATTATCCAGCACTAGAAATCTGTGGTCCATAACATATTGGGGATTTTCCAACCTTTCGTCTAAATTGTTTTTGGATATCTTGTTATGTCTTCATTATCCTTGGGTTTATTTCGAGTAACATGAGAAATAAGTTGATATATTTTCAAGTAGTCCAAGGGGGACATCCCTCAGGGCTTGCTGACTGGTACCTGATAGTTCTCACTGTTGGATAGGCGGCATGTGCATTGTGGGTGTGGCCACCTACCCAACCCACTCCGACAACCCTTAGATTTTGTGGATTCAAACCTAACCCACACCGACAACCCATCGATTTTGTGGATTTCAACTACATAAAAGTGAAAGACTCTTCTGAAACTGAGAAGAACAGTGAGCCTCGCCCACTTTCTTTCTTACGGCTTGAGTCCTATTCTGACCATGCCATGGCAGCACCCGTTAGATTTTAGGCTGCTTTCTACATCACTTCTTCAACTGGGAACATGTGGTGGGGCAAAAACTAGAATTCGGTGACGTTGTGATGTCTAATTATTAAGGAAGTGGAGGTGCCTCTTTCAGTATGGCAGGCTCGTGGGCACCTTTTTCCTTTTTGGCCTAGATGTTGACCCTTTTAAGTCTCGCTCTGTCCAGGTTGCCTTCATTCTTTCCGCACCCATTTCTTGTGGACTTCCAGCACGTGAACTTGGTTTCAATTTTTTTGTGGGTCACTGTTCTCTCCCTCCCTCCCTCGCTCCTCTCTCTCTCTCTGTCGCTATATATACATATTTATATTTATATATAATTGGAGTTTTAATGAGGAGAAATTTACCTTGTCCTTTGATGTACAATTTATTTTTGGGTTTACTTTTCTATATTTTGGTTTTATTTTGTGGGGCTCCTGCAGGTGGTGGGGTGGGCGTGGGGGTGGGGATGTTTGTTTTGTCCTTTGTCGAGGACTTGAAAATGACAGGTGTTTGTTTTGGTTTGACACATTGACGATCCATTTGGCTGATCTCAGTGCAATAATTGTGTGCACTCGATGCAAATACCCATATATTTGTATTGCAGTTCCATTTGTGCTTTTAGCACGTAGCGAAGGTTACCTCAACCCAAAACTGAATTGCATCAGTCGGTGGGGTGTCTTTTACCCAAAAACTGGTGGGGTGTCTTTTACCCAAAAACTTAGGTTCAAAGTAGAAGTTTGTTGGGAATCCCTATGCATTCATAAAGCACATGTAGAGTTTTTAAACCAGTTGTTTTTGTACATTTTGTTGGTGTATTTAGGTAGCATTAATAGTTGAAATTATTTTCATGCTTCAAAATCATGTTTTCTTGCAATAACCTGGTAGTTTCCACACAAGGAATCTTTGGCAGTTCAAGCTGGAAAATTATCTATACCATTAGCCACCCAGTTAATCCCAATTCCAAAAGGCACCATTTTTTAGCACCATTTTTTTGGGGCAAATATGTCTTTGACCTGTTCTACTTCGTAAATAATTTAGATTTTTTGTACTGGAACATTCTGTTTGATTCTCTATGAAAAATGAATCTAAACACTCATTTATCCTCTAAAAATAATCTGTTTGCAATTATGTTGTTCCTTGAAAGTTGGAATTTTCATCTGTCTTTTTTTCCTATTGACTTTGTTTTTTCAAGATGTTTGATCTTTCTTTAACTTCGTCATTGCTTGATGCACAAGATACGCACGCACACCCATAAGCATAGGTGCATGTAAATTTAAATTTATTGCATGCATTATATATACGTACTTATGTATGTGTGTACTTGCGTATATATATGTGTGTGAATTGGATACTGATTTGCTAGATTTTGTGTGCCTATATAGGAACTGGTGGCATAAATGAGTCACTAGGTTACTTTTAGGGGCAAGTGGGTAGGCTGTAAGGGCTTTGGGTTTTTGCTGTCTTATTGTGGGGACTAGTGGGGCCTGGGTTTGGTGGTTGTTGAGAGGTCTCCATGGGTGATTTCACCATGCATCATCTTTTCTTCCTATCACCTTTAGGACTTTATTCATATTCAGGACGTCTCTCTCTAACTTAGGAAGCAAATATAAACTAGTTCCCCAAAGTATTGTGTTTAGGCATTAGCTTTCGTAACCATATCTGGTAATCTTTTGATCATCCTTAGGAAATTGATGCGGGATTTAAATTTATTGGAAAAGGGGTCCTTGATTAGTTTAGTTGCCTTCTTCTGATAGACATAAGGTACAAGAAGCACTTTCTTGTTGTATTTCACTCAGTTTTATCCACAAAACAATTCGTTTACATGGAGGCAAACTTGTCCAAACTTAGTGGGGCAGTAGATATTTAAACTAAAAACATGTCGGAAACCAGTCATTAATGAATCAATCTGATTAATTAATTGATTAATTGTTGATTGTTGGCTAACCTCGTATTTTGTGTGTGCTATGTATGACAGAGCTGTCATATTGACATGTCGGAAACTAATAGTTAACGAATCAATCAGATGATTAATTAATTCATTAATTAATTGTTGATTTTTTGCTAACCTCTTATTTTATGTGTTTTATGTATGACAGAGCAGTCAAGTCAGTACCCTTTGTTTCTCTTCTTTGTGTGCTGCCCCTCCCCCTTTTTCGTCTGAAATAGAAGAACTGTCTCGCTTACTGGTTCCATTAGAGGCTCGGCAGGTAATTGTTAGTGAACGGCCTTCTTTAGGTAATTGTTAGTGAACGGCCTTCTTTGGGCATATGCCTTTTGCTGAACCCACACGAAACAGTCCTTAGATTCTAAGAATTTCAGCGACAGCCATAAATTTATATAGCTTCAATGAAATGAGAATAGTTGCCTTTTTTTTATTGGTCAAAAAATTGAGCACATTAACCCTTTCAGTTTAGAACTTTAGATTCCTTCCTTTCTCTAGCCGTGTGTCCCTTTTCTGCCCATGCAATGCCGGAATATGTCAAATCCGGGAGTTTTCGATTGAACTGCACTATCTAACCTCTTTATTTTGCTCATAAATCACATGGTGGGACCTAATATTTAGAATTTGGAGAGCTTCAAATGTCTCATTATTGTGGAGGGCCCTCACTCAGTATGGCAGGCTCATGGGCTCCTTTTCCTTTCAGTTGTTGACCTCTTCAGTTTTATGTTCCAAGTCCCCTTCATTCTCCATCACTAAATTCACATGGAGATTCGTGTTGCTCGTGAACTTGATTTCGCCTTTTGTGGGTTTCTGTCCTTATTCCCATACATATACGAAATAGAAGAGGGTCCGGTAAACTTTTATGTTTTATTTGGGATCTAGCTTGGTAAGTTCCGGGGCCATCAAGGTTTGAACCCTTGAGTGACTTCATTGGATGCATACTTATTTGTGCATGTGGGGTGTGTGTGTATGTTTGAGCTAGAGTGAGACAGAGGAAGGGAGAGAGGGTAGCACGTGTATGCATGAGACAGGGGTTAACACGTATATGCATGATATTTTGGTCTGTGGGGAGAGAGAGAGAGAGATTAGCACGTGTGTGCATGTTTCTTGGAGGGAGAGACAGATTAGCAGGTGTATGCATGTTTTTGGTGTGTGACAGTGTTGGAGAGGTTAGCACGTGTATGCATTTTTTTTGGTGTGTGAGAGAGTGTCCAAAAGATGTTTGCATTTGTTGCAAGTGAACACGGGCTGATGTGTACTGCGCATATGGATGTATGCTTGTAAATATGTAGGTATGCATTTTCCTGGATTGATTGAACGATCTCCTACTTGATTTTGTGGATATGTATCAATACATTACCTTTTATGAGAGGTGGGCAGGCTGTAAAGGGGTTAGCCTTTGCTGTCTATTGTAGAGAGAGAGAGAGAGAGAGTGTGTGTGTGGGGTCATGGTTTGGTGGGAGGTCTTTTAGGGGGTGATTCACCATGCATTATCATTTTTTGAAGGTCCAACCCTAATCTTTATGGTGTGGGTCCTTTACACATGGTATGGCCTCTTGTTGCTTTTGGTGAGTTCCATTTTCTCTCTCTTCAATGCTTGCTGCCCCAGTGACCCTTATGGTGGCCCCTTCCCTCTCCTAGCAACCCTTGCTCTAACCCTGACATATTTGTCACTTTGCCAATGATACACATCAATCTTGAATGTTACCACTTACCATGTGATTAGGGTGGCATCTAGATTGAAGCTCACTTGATTTTTGGTTGAAAATGGTGGAAATTCCAGTGCTGATATGTGAAT